GGGATCTTTAACGTGCCCAACTTGCTCACGGGCGCTTCGAGATTTTTCGCCCTTGTCCGAGAAGGCTAGGTGTAGATCTTTCCTACCAGAAGATCAGGGGTGTGGCAGAAAGACAGCAGTTAGGAGGAGCCAAGGAGTAGCAGTAGAAAGGCTGCAGAAAGAGTCAGGAGCCCAGAGGAGGGGGCAAACGAGGTGAGGGGGTGGGGGCAGAAAGTGGAAATGAAAGCAGACAACAGAACATTGTTAGAGATCAGGAAAGCATGTGAAAGGAGACAATTTTAGAGAAGAAAAATTTTTGGTCGCTACCCGGAATCGAACCCGGGACCTTTGAATGAGAGGCCAACACCTTAACCTCTAGGCCACGAGAGCCCCCCCCCCCCCCCCCCGGTCCCTTTAAACAGTGTTGGAGTGGCTTATTTGTAAAAATGGATACTGTACCAAATTATTTGCTTTAAATATTCTAGCCTTTAAAATGACAGAATTGCTCCCCCCTTTTTAACAGTATTTTGGAGTATTTTTCATGTAAAAGTTTATACTGCAACAAAATTGTTTGCGTTAAGTACTTAAGCATATAAAATGACAGAGAAGACGGGAAGGGAGAATAGGAATGGTTTCAGAAATGCACCTGAAGACTACAGGGAAAATAGCAGATTTATATTTTGGTTCATCTGAGATATCGTTAGCTTATACATACTTAAAGTCTATAGAAATATCTTAAGAGGCTCTCGACCCATTTAGCAGAGTCCTATTGTAGATGGAGGTTTAACTTGGAAGTTCTGCATCTTAAATAATCTTGAAGTGTTGAAAGGTGTTTTTAGGTCTATTTAGTAAGTTTAATAAGAGTTTTACCGCATATAATATGAAACTGATTGTTGGTGGTTGGCGGGTGCTCTGGTGTGGTCTACTTCTTCTTTCCTATCAAACATCTATCGTCCTTATCTCCCCTTCTTCTTTTTCTTTGTTTGTTACTCTCTTGTAACACCTCTAATCTTATGGCGCTCATATGCAGTTGCGAGCGCCGTAAGACCTCTACTAAAACACACTGAAACTGATTCCCTTATCTGCACAGGTCCTGAGGGACGGCATGGGTCAAGCGTCGTGTCTGCCCAGTGGTCAAGCGCTGGACACCGTTATCACCAATGCCCTTATTCTGGACGCTGTGACCGGAGTGATTAAGGCGGACGTCGGGATCAAGGTACGGTTACTTTGCTACACGCCAACGCCTATTCTAATAAAGTGGGCGTTGCTCCACGCTCATTCCACACGCTGGGTCTGCAGGATCGCCCTGACCAGCTGAACAGTGGCGGTTCGTGGTTTATAGAACTGACCGGCCGTCATTCACATAGACTCTCTCTCCCTTCCCCTCCCCCTTCCTTCACAACACACACACACACACACACACACACACACACACACACACACACACCACACACACACACACTCTCTCTCTCTCTCTCTCTCTCTCTCTCTCTCTCTCTCTCTCTCTCGCTCTCTCTCTCCTCATTTTATACCCCTACTTTCTCCATCCCCACCCCTGTCCCCAACTCTCACAGACTGTAAACATTAATAATATAATGTGAAAGAGTTAAAATATGGTAGTGTCAAGAAACAATATTATGAATAATGTAAGATGGAAGTTACAGAGATAGAAACTGACTTGATCGGCACAGAAAAAGAAACACAACTATGCTAGAAAACAAACTGAAAGTGTATGATGACAAAAAGTCAATGAATATTGTACCAGTGACGCTGTTCCATGCAGATCAAGTCTACAATCAGATACTGTACAAGGCTGGACAAAGTTAGCACACAACAGTTTCCAATCATTATATAATCAAACGTTCTTCATTGCTCTTCTCAGTTCTCAGAACACTGTTGTAACAACCTTTTATGATAGGAGTAATGATAATGATACTACAGGGGGTTCAATATCGTTTAGTTGTAGTGATAAATTTACAATTGCAACGCAAACAGGGCATGTAAATGAGATCAGAGATGTTTATGGAGAGCAACATACAAGGACAAAAAAGGGAGAGAAAAAGAAGATAATGTATTTTTTTATTGGAAAGTTGGAGCAAACCACACCAGAGCACTCACCAACCACCCACAAATATTTGTTATTATAATTGTGTTCTGAAGGTGTTATGTCCGGCTCAGAGGTTGACGTGCACTGACTCGCCATTGTGTAGGTCGCAAGCTGCTCTCAAACAGTTTATCATATTATCATTTAGTCTAGTCCATACTTTCTTGTTGTAAGTCCCCATTGTTCTTTGACCTTCCAACCGTATCCTTTGTGCTCCACATCTTTGCCCACCAGGATTTTCTTTATAATGGTCTGGGGGCGCTCATAATATTGTTGTTATGACCAAAATTGTGTATTTTCTGGCAGCTGAGAATCCTTGTACACTTTTTAACTTTTGCACCCATTCGGGTTAGTAGCATTGGATATGGGCTTACAATTTTTTACGTAATATATCCAATACAGTCTGATTAAAAAATAGAAGTATGAAACCCACAGAGTACTTTTAATAAGTGTTGAAATAATCTGTTGGCTCTTCCAGAATGGTAGAATTGTTGGGATTGGCAAGGCCGGTAACCCGGATATCATGGACGGTGTGGATAAGGTAAGGAGACTCCTCTCCCCTTTGTACGTTCATGATTTAAAATTTATACCCTTTTACAAGAGATTTTGTCAGATGAGTAAGAAAGGATCAGATTATACTTTATTGTCCCAGTGAGAAATTCTTCCAAAACTTTACAGGATTGATGAAAATACGTGTAGATATGCACAGAATAACATCTTTATTGTATATTTAATTCATAAATGAATATCAAGATGAAAAGAAAAATGAAAGCTGACAACAATACAACATAACACATTAAGTCCATCTCTCAACCAACATGCATGACTTTATCAGATGTTTAAAATATGTTATATAGCTATTGCATATATGAGCATAGGTATACGATCAGCAGCAATACACAATTGATTTTTATGTTCATTTCGACTGCAACTTCATTGCAGATGGTTATAAACTTCTTTAGAAGTTTCTTTAGAAACTTCTTTTGAATCTTTCTTTCTTTTTTGTGTGAATTCATGATGATAATAACTGAACAAAAACATTATGGTAATCAGTTGACTACTTCTTTTTCTTTCCTTATGTTGTTTTTGTCTCTCAGTCTTACTTTTTCCTTCGGCTTTCTGTCTGTTTTATTTTTTCCTTACACTATCTGTCAGTCATTTCCCCCCTTTCTTTATCTGTTTGTCTGTCTTACTTTTTCGCAGCACTAAATGGCCGTTATACTATGTGTCCATGTACTTCTTTTTTACTACTCAATGTGTTCATGTGCATATGTGGGGTTTTTTTCCTACTCAAACAAACAAATCTCAGCACATGGTGGTAGGCGCGTGTACAGAGGCGATAGCGGGCGAGGGTTTGATCCTCACTGCGGGCGCACTGGACACACACGTGCACTTCATCTGCCCTCAACTGGCCCGTGAGGCCATCGCTTCTGGCATTACCACGCTTATCGGAGGCGGCACAGGCCCGGCCACAGGCACCAACGCCACCACCTGCTCCCCCGGGCCGGCTCACATCAAGTGAGTGTTCTGTGTGGGTGGTTGGAAGGTGCTCTGGTGTGGGTGGTTAGAGGGTGCTCTGGTGTGGGTGGTTAGAGGGTGCTCTGGTGTGGATGGTTGGAGGGTGCCTTGGTGGGGTGGTTTGGTCGTTCTTTCCTATCAAACATATTATATCATCCTTATCCCTCTTCCTTCTCTTTGACTGTTTTTCTGTTGTAAAACGTATAATCTTTGGTTCTTGTACGACAAAGTTGTGTTGCAATTAGTACTAAAACTTTTTTTAAAAAATCTGATTAGCGTGGTTGGAGGGTGCTCTAGTGTGATTAACTCTTTATTTCCTATCAAACATCTGTCGTCCTTGTATTTCATCCTTCTTGCTTGTGGGTTAAAAATATCTTGTAACTCCTCTTATCTTCGGGCACTTATATGACTTACTTATGTACAATTTTCGTTATACTCTTACTAAAACTATTTTTTTTAAAAACCCCCAAAAACCTGATGCAGGTGACTTAATTATGGGCGTTAAAATGTAGTCAGTACTTTCTACTATGTTCCCTGTTCTCTTTGCTGTAGCGGCCAGGCGCTTTGCGTTGAACCAAAAAGTCGTGAGTTCGAATCCTGTGAAGAAAGATTGTTGTTTTAAAAAAAAAGTCTCTCCGTCTATCGGCAGGGATATTGTATCCCCTCCCCCCCACGCACGCACACACACACACACACACACACACACACACACACACACACACACATACACACACACACACACACACACACACACAAACACACACACTCACACACACACAAACACACACACATGCACACACAGACACCTCCCGCGACCCTCGTTATTATTCTAAGGTCTTGTATTCCCCAGACACATGATGCAGAGTACGGACAGTTTCCCGCTCAACTTTGGCTTCACGGGGAAAGGAAACAGTTCCAGCACTCAGGGCGTCTCCGAAGAGCTGTGGGCGCAGATCAAGGCGGGAGCCATGGGGTACGTCTACTGGAGTTTTGTGCCGCTTTCAATATGCAGAAGGTCATTTCATCTGTGTCCGTGGTGAAGTGGTTAGGTGTTTTGCTGTTGCATGCTGGAGACCCGAGTATGATTTATTTTCCAATTAGGGAGAAAATTTTTATTGTGTGTATATTGAGTATCTCGGTCTTTCTGCTGCTGGGACATTCTATCCCTTTCATTCTGGCTTGGCCCTGAAGGCAGGGAGGAAGTCTGGCTCCTAAATAATCTAAATTGTGTTGATTGGTGTGTAAATATGCCTACATTTAAAAGAGTCATTTTAGTCTGGGTGTCATTAGGTAGCTTGGAGTACCCAAACTGGGAATTCTTGAACTGAGGTCGTTTTGTGGCGGTTTCAGGGCTCTCAACCCATGGCTCGGTCCTATTGGGGACATAGTTTAATTCGGAGATCCTACTTCATAAATTATGGCCTAATCATTATCATCCTTGTCGACTGACGTGGGCGACCATGGACCTTCATTTCACTCTGTCTTGCGTTGCAGCGATGGTGTTTGTCGTTTTTGCTGTTCTCAACCATGTTGTCAACCTGTTCAGTATCTTTTCCCTCGGTATGTCACTGTCTCTCTTTCCTTCAAACTTGCCTTTTGATACAATATTCTCCAATGCTTCTTTCCTCATTGTGTATCTTATGAACTTTGCCTGATGCTTTCGTATATTCGTTATAAACTGTCGTCTGCAATTTGCCCCAACCAAGACTTCTTCATTTGTTTTTTCTAGCTGTCCATGTGATACGCAGCACGCGTCTTATGAACCACAACTCTGTTGTCTCAATTGTACTTTCCAGTTATCTGTTGAGTCCATGCTTCGCACCCGTATAATAGGATTGGCTTGATGCAACTTCAGTACTCTTTTTCTTGTTTCTTATGACCTAACACTAGTGTTGATAGTGGCTTAAGCCCATACATTTACATTTTTTCCCTCTCCAGCATGAAACTGCACGAAGACTGGGGTAGTACGCCGGCCGCCATTGACGCGTGTCTCAGCGCCGCGGAGAAAGCTGACATACAGGTGGGTCGGTGGGTGGTTGGATAGTTGGCGGGTGATCTGGTGTGGTTTGCTCCTCCTTCCATGTCTAACATCTATTGTCCTTACCTCTCCTTCTTAAACGTCAAACGAAAGGGATTTAAAACTGTCTCTGAATCTACCACTTTCCCCTGTCGTAAGTTTAAAAACCTACACAGTGGTGAAAGACATTCTTCTTTTACAAGTTACACAAACCTAAAATGTGTTGAAAGAGAATCCAGATGCGTGAGCTGTTGGCGGGTGCTCTTTCTTGTCTTTCAAACATCTACCGTCCTGATCTCCCCCTTTTGTTTGAATGTTACTCTCGAATAACACATCTAATCTTCGACACTTATATTATGATCTATTGGTGTTAAAAGTGACATAAAAGTCGTTCTTAAACAGGGGCGAAGGCTGACTCGTTTGACAGGGTAATCAAAGTGAAATGGGACCAGATATGGCCTGTAGATAGTAGATATCACACAAGAATCTTACTCGAGGCGGCGACTCTGAGTTGTGAATGAATGAAAACAAATCCGGAATTCATATTGTATGTTCAACCGCCAAAATAATCGGGAAAGTATCTTATTAAATATCAGTTGCCACTAAAATTAAACTTAACTTTAGATGTGAATACATAAACACAAAGCAAAGAAGCAGAGATGTCAGTACTAGATCTATATGTTATAGATCTACCAGTGAGTCTAACTCTTTGGTAGAACATGACAATTATTATTTTTTAAATTTCACATTTGGCTGTTTTTGTTAGCCTTTCGCGGCCAGGAGCTGGTGTCATAATCGAGGTCACGATCTGATTATAGGACGGTAAAAAGTCGAGGAAAAAAAACAAGCACAAGCAGCAGTCAAGAGATTATTATTAAGAGTTAGTTCCCCTCACATTTGTGAGGTAGACTCGACCAGTGTTAGTTAGCTTACTTAATCAGGGCTTGTAATTGATTTTAACTGTGGCCCCAAAGGGGTGAACAGGGTATATGTGGCAATGAAACAGCTTTGACTGCCATGCACATGTTCCCTTCAACTCTATTCCAGCCTCACTTTAAGCTTACTTAATCAAAGCTGGCGACTGCTTATGGAGTGGCCCGAGAGGGGTGAGGAGGCTATTTCTGTGGCCGTGAAACCGTTTTGAATGTTAGGCATACTGTTCGTTGTTGGTTACGAACGTCTTTTTACATTTAATTTATGAGGTTTACGTTTAAGGATGAATTTGACAGCGACAATGTTTCAAAATTAGAAAGGGAAGCAGTGATTATTTGATTATATAGACGCTTCGCCCCTGTTCTTAAACTATAAACGTAATAAATTCAAAACTCATACTGAATCTACCACTTCTGTTATACTTTGTATAAACCCACACTGCATTAACCCTATCCGTACGTCGTGTTTTACTATCGTTCCGTACGACGCGGGGAACTCTGTGCCACCATTTTCCAAAGAGGAAATTTACTCGTTAATCCGATCCGTACGCTTTGCATAGCAGTCTGTCAAAATGATTTTTTGAGAAATACTGAAAGTTTTAAAAAGATCTTCATACTAGAAGTATTCTGAAATGTAAAGAATACAACCCCCCCCCCCCCCCGCCCTCTGCCAGGTGATGATCCACACGGACACGTTGAACGAGTCGGCGTGCGTGGAGAGGACTGTTGAGGCGTTCAGAGGGCGCACCATCCACACCTACCACACTGAGGGCGCTGGCGGGGGGCACGCCCCGGACATCATCAAGTAACGATTTCATTAATGTTCAACGGATGGCTAGATCTAGCTTTTCTTAAATATCCGACGGATGATTAAGTTCTACAGATGGTTAACTTTTCATGATTAACTTTTCGTAAATGATCGACAGATGATTAAGTTTGACAGATGATTAACTTTTCATGAATAACTTTTCATAAATGTTCAAATGATCATGAACTTTTCATGAATGCCCAACAGATGATTAACTGTTAAGAAATGTTCAACCTAATATTACTTTTCATAAATGTTCAACGGATCATTAACTTTTCATAAATGTTCAACGGATCATTAACTTTTCATAAATGTTCAACGAATGTCTAACTTTTCATAATGTTGGTTAGCTTTTCATTATATTAAACAAATGACTAACTTTTCAAAAATGTTCGACAGATGATTAAGTTCGACAGATGGTTAACTTTTAATGATTAACTTTTCATAAATGTTTGACAAATGATTACCTTTTCATAAATGTTCTATAGATGATTAACTTTTCATAAATGTTCAACAGATGTCTAGCTTTTCATAAATGTTCGACAGATAATTAAGTTTGACAGATGGTTAACTTTTCATGATTAACTTTAAATGTTCAACGGGTGAATAACAATTCATAACTATTCAACGGAGGGCTAACTTTTCATAAACGTTCAACAGATGATTAGCTTTTCATAAATGTTCAACAGATGATTAACTTTTCATAAATGCTCAACAAATTGATTAACTGTTCATGAATGCTTAAAAGATTAATTACTTTACTTAAGGCGCTCGTTTAGCTCAGTGTTGGTATCATGCTGGATTACAGAGGTGAAGGGCCATGGTTCCAATCACAGACTGGGCGTTGTCTGGAGCTCGGTTCGTTTTGTGGAGATTTCAAGGGTCTCGTTACATTTTGTCTCGGTCCTATCTATCATTAATGGACGTTAAATTCGGACATCCTGTGGATTATAGGGTCATTAAACCCATACTTACATTTACTCTTTACTCTCGTCAGATCTCTACTTTTCGGCACCTGTATATGACCTATTTTTGTTGCAAGTGCCGAAACACTTACTCAGACTCAAATTAAAAGCCTCCTCCCCCTCCCCCCTCCTCCAACCCCCGTCATCAGAGTGTGCGGTATCCCCCACGTGCTCCCGTCCTCCACCAACCCGACCCGGCCCTTCACCGTCAACACTCTAGATGAGCACCTGGACATGCTCATGGTCTGCCATCACCTGGACAAGTGAGTGTAGCCAGGGATGTTGTTGTTTGTGGGGATGCTGTAACTGGGGATTTTGTTTGTGGTTATAGTTATTGTAGCTGTGTGTGGTGATTTTGTTGCTGCTGTTGATTTGTTGTGGTTGTTTTTTGGTTGTTTTTTGGTTGTTTTTTGGTTGTTTTTTGGTTGAGGTCGTTATTGGTAGTTGTTGCTGTTGTTGTTGGGCCATTCCCAAAGGGGTACATTAACTATGCACAGTAGAATCGTAATTGTAAATAGGCTGATTCATCAAAGTCATGCTCATAACTGTGCCTGAATTTCTACCGGGAACTGCTGTTTTTTCTTTCCTGATCCTTACTATGGTCTTTTTTTTTTCTCTACTTCTTTATATATATTATAAGTTTGTCACACTCTTGTGACCCACAATTTCCGGGGTGCCTTGATAGTCGAAGCAGACTTTGAGCTGTTGAAGCTAGAGAGGTGTGCAGAGTAAGCCTGATTCCTGTAAGGGCTTCTCTGTTAACATCCACCCCTTGGCGCTCATATGACCTTATGCAGTTGTGAGCGCCCTAAAACTCCTACTAAAACTGAAACAAAACGTTGTTATTGTTGTTTGTGTAGTTGTCGTTGTTGTCGTTATTGATATTGTTATTAACATGTTAGCAGATAATGTTTTGGGTTGCTTCATAAAGGTGATTAAATCATACAAGTGTTAAAGCTTATAGATATGCTCCACTAGACCACTAATATAATTTTCAACTCTTTACAGGCTGCAGTATCATTCATTATAAAAAGATATTTGGACTCTTCATTCGTGGATGAAACACTCTGCCTTGTTTCATCTTATCCCATCTGATCATTTCTCATTTTTAACCTATTTCTATGTAACTGGGCTCAGACACCCTAGTCGGTGTTATTCAGGACATATTCTATGTTCAAAAACAAATTCTGAGTTCTCAACAGTCTCCTCAGAAACCACATTTCTGGGGCTTCTGTTTTGTTGTCTTTGTGATTGTCCAGCATTTACAGCCATATTCAATTCATGCAATAAACTTAAAGATACTAACAGTAATAGGCGTCTGTGGTGTAGAGGTTAGGTGATTTGCCGTAGCACGCAGGAGATACAGGAAAGTTCGATTCTCACATTGGGAGGACATTTTTATTGAGTGTCTCGGTCTTTCTGCTGGGATGCTGTGCTCCTCTTAGCCCAGGTTGGTCCTGATCTAAATAATCAAAATTGAGTCAATGGGGCGTGAAACATCTACATAAAACACAACAACGACAACAACAACATCAACAACAGAAAAATAACAAAATCATTTAAAAAAAAATCTTCCCTAACAATTTTTGTTCTAGGAACTTTTCTGCTGGAATATTGTGCTCCCCTCAGTCTAGTTAGCCCTGACAAGGAAGCCCGCCTCCTGAATTATCGATTTTGTGTCGATAGGACATTAAACACAAACGCCTAAAAAAGAACCAACAACAAAACAAAACAATAACAAACAGCAAAAAACAATCTTTGCAACAATTTTTGTTGTTGTTGCAGGAACCTGAAGGAGGACGTGGCGTTCGCGGAGTCAAGGATCCGGGCGGAGACAATCGCTGCTGAGGACATCCTGCATGATCTGGGGGCTCTCAGCATGATGGGTTCTGACGCTCAGGTTAGATGAATATTTCTTGTTTGAAAACAACAACAACAACAACAACAACAGCAACAACAACAACAACAACAACAACAACAACAACAACAACAACAACAATAGCAGCAGCAGAAGCAGCAGCAGCAGCAGCAGCAGCAGCAGCAGCAGCAACAGCAGTAGCAGAAGCAGTTGCAGCAACGTTTCAGTCCCATAGTACAATAAATCAATAAATCAATGTATCGTACCAATCAATTAGTTATTCAATAAACAAATAAATAAATAAATGAATAAACAAATAAATAAACAAATAAAAATAACATGAGGCAATGGTTTGTATTTATTACTACTTACGCCTACCCACTCACTGTATTTTATATCATTCCCAGCTTATCGTACATTATTTTTATTCTCGTATATTATGACCCCCCCCCCCCCCCCACCAACCACCGCCTTCCCCTTTCTTCCAACCAGGCAATGGGCCGTATCGGCGAGGTGATCACCCGTACCTGGCAGACAGCTGACAAGATGAAGGTGGTGAGAGGACAACTTGCCGAGGAGAAGGTGATCAGCTTGATGTCTGTCTTTGTTGTCTAATGATAATAAATAGTAATAATAGATAGCATTTGTATAGCGCAAATCCCCGCTCAACAGCAAGCTATATGCGCTTCACAATCTGTACTATTACCCCTGCAGACCTGAGAGCGTTTTGAAACAAACTTAACATCCTGGGATGCATACAGTGCAAGCAGCCATCTATAGGCGCTAAAACACTATCATACTGATACGTTATTTCGCTGTCTATGGCATAAACAAGTGATGATTCGTGGACTGAGTTATATTGGAAGAAATGGAGAAGGCGATGAGTTTTATATTATGGTTGTAAAATTTTCAATGTCTTTGTATAATAAATGGTTACTGGGTAAAGTTTATTAGGAGAAATAGTAAGAAAAACAGCGAATCAACTAAACAACACAAAACGTGGTTGATGTGATTTGCTCTATCTTTCCTATCAAACACCTACCGTCCTTATCTCTCCTCCTTTTTCTTTGTATACTACTTAGTTTTTTGTTACAAGTCTAATGCTCAGCAAGTATATAATTTGTTAGACCTATTTGTGTTGCAAGTGCCATAAAACTCGTGCTCAAACTAAACAAAAAGTATCAAAATTAATATAACCGTTTTTACGTCCCCCAGGGAGACAGCGACAACTACCGTGCCAAGCGCTACATCGCCAAGTACACCATCAACCCGGCCATAGCGCACGGGGTCTCCTCTCTCCTGGGCTCTGTGGAGGTAAGTATTTGAGTAAGTAAAGTAAACTAAGTTGAAGCAAATTATAGAAGACAACTTATCACGAATATAAGAAAACGACAGGCAAATTTCTTCGGACACACAATGCGGAAAGAAGTATTGGAGAATATTGCAACAACAGGCAAGTTTGATGGAAAGAGAGGCAGAGGCAGACAGAGGGAAAATAATAATAATAATAAATAAATTACACTACTATTTGTCTCAAAAGGGCACTTTGTTTTACAATGGCAAACATACATACATAAATACATAATTATAAACACGTACATACGTAAATACATACATGCATAAATACATACATAAATAAACACTATTACACAGATACAGAACAGTTTACAAACAATGCCACTGTGCAGCGCCCTGTGATTTGAACTAGGGTTGTCGTGTCTTGCTCAAGGACACACTCCAGTGACCACCCATCTGATCCCCGTGTCACCGACACTTGCTTGACATTGCTTGAGTCAAAACTCACTACTCACTTAGCCACTGGAGCCTGTGATACTGGACAAGATGACAACATTGCTGCAGCGCAAGACAGAGTGAAGTGGAGGTCCAGGATCGCCCACGTCAGTCGGCAAGGCACCAGATGATGATGATGAACGTAAACTAACTGTATAAAGTTAATGCCCTTATCGACACCTTTAGGTTATTCAAGAGGCTGGACCCCCAAATTGGTCGCTTTTAAGGACAAGTGGGCCATACCGAAAAATGCTGTCTTGAGAAAATCGAAGGTAAAGTTTTTGCCCCTTGCTCATTTCATTAAAAAACAGGGCGAGTTTTGTCTATAACAAAAAACAAATATACACTCCAACGAAACCAAACTTCTCCTATAGGTAGGGCAATGCTAATTTTTTGTTTAGGTCAAGATTTCTGGAAACCCTCGAAATCTGGTTTAACCTGCTTGTCCTTAAAAGCGACCAATTTAACATTCATATCCGAAGAGACCAATCGAGCCAAATGGGCTGAGAACCATGACAACTCCACAAAGGGACCTAAGTTCAAGAATGCTGGATTGACCCACATAGGCAGGGTCGTAAGCCCACCTGCTAAATAATAATAATAATAATAATAATAATAATAATAATAATAATAATAATAAATATATTTGTATATATATATATATATATATTTATATATATATATACATATATATATATATATATATATATATATATATATATATATATATATATATATATCCTTATTTCGATGGGGGCGTAAAAACACCTTCATTAAAAATACAACCCAAAAACAACAACAGCAACAACAACAACAACAACAACAACAACATCAGCAACAACAACATCAGCAACAACAACAACAACAAAAACAAAACTTTCTAGTAACACACATCTAATATTTGACTTTAATATGACCTATTTGTATTGCAGTTGCCTGAACAACTCTTATTAAAAACCAAAAACTTTATCACCCCCCCCTCCCCCCTCCCAACCCAGAGTGGCAAGTTGGCGGACCTAGTCCTGTGGAGTCCTATGTTCTTCGGGGCCAAACCAGAGATCATCATCAAAGGCGGCCAGATCGCCTGGGCACAGATGGGTGAGTGAGTGGTCTTGTCGTGTTTCTTGTGAGATTTTACGGTGTAGGGTTTAGTTTAGTTTTAGTGGAGGTTTTACGGCGCTCGCAACTGCATAAGGTCATATGAGCGCCAGAAGATTAGAGGTGTTACAAGAGAGTAATAAACATAAAAAAGAAGGGGGGGGGGGCAGATAAGGACGATATATGTTTGATAGGAATGAAGAAGCAAACTGCACCAGAGCACCCGCCAAAAACCCACATGTGTGGGGTTTGATTTGTTTCGTGCCAATTCACGCTGTATTATTGATACTGTATTATCTACAGTAAGATTGCACCGTGTGGGTGTTTAATTCTTTCCTTGCAAATTCACAATATAATAATTATATTGTCGAAATTTTAGTGCCTCCTGTGAGATTGTGTGGTGAGGGGTTAATGCTTTTCTCAGAGATCATCTTTAAACTAAAGGGACTGTAATTTATTGAGTTTCAAAGTGTTCTCGCCATTTCAAGAGTTATAGCCCTTGAAAATCTTGCCATTAAAATTTATCATAATTTTATTATTGTTTGTTTCGTAATGCTGTATAATCCCCTCTCCCTTAAAAAAAAATAAAAGAACTGAATAAACGAAGATAATAGATTTTTTTAAATCCCTAGAACAAGAGCGATGACTGTATGCTGCTAAAATGAATGAATGAACGAATGAACGAATGAGTGAATGAATGAATGAATAAATGAATGAATGAATGAATGAATGAATGAACGAATGAACGAATGAGTGAATGAATGAATGAATAATTAATATAATGGATACCTGCCCCCCCCCCTCCCCACCCCCACACACACCCAATATAAAAAATCAGCTTCCTACAATCGTTCAATCATTGATTTCTTGGACTGCTCACAGGTCTCGCTAACGCGTCCATCCCTACACCTGAGCCCGTGAAACAGAGGAAAATGTTCGGATCTTATGGGAAAGCTGTTGGCCCTCAGTCCTACGTGTTTGTTAACAAGGTAATTCCTTCTTTTTTTGTTTATTTGTTTGTTTTCTTGTTTGTTGTTTTACTACTGTGGCGCCAGTGGCCTAGTGGTTAGGTTACCGGACTCGTAATCGTGAGGTTGCGGGTTCGTGGATTCGAGTCACGGGCCAAACGTTGTGTCCTTTAGAAAGGCACTTTATACTAATTTTCCTCACCTCACCCAGGTCGGAATGGGTACCCTGGCCATAGACAGCGAAAGCTCTTATCAGTATGTTAGTGTTTTAGCGACTATAAATGGCCGCTTGCTCTGAATGCTTCCCAGGAAGTTGAGGTTGTTTCAGAATGCTCTCAGGTCTGCGGAGGTAATAGTATAAATTGTGAAGCGCATTGAGCTTGTTGTTGAGCGGGGATTTGCGCTATACAAATGCCATCTATTATCTATTCATACTTCACTCTACTTTTGGTCCTGTTTGTCGACGTGTCTTCCTGCGCGCTCGTATGACCTTATGCAGTTGTGAGTGCCGTAAAATCTCTACTAAAACTAAAACCCAATGCACTCTAAACTGTGACCATTAGGATCTTTCTTCTGTCGATGCCATTCTCTTCAAGTGGGTGGTTGGAGGGTGTTCTGGTGTGTTTTTTACTTTTTTCAATGAAATGTCTATCGTTCTCAGTTCCCCCTCTCCCTTTATTTGTATGTTACTCTCTAGTTACACCTTTGATCTTCGATACTTATATGACATATATCTAATTTGCCTTGAAGTGCCGTAAAACTCTTAACTAAATCTAAAATTTGAAAACTTGGGGATCAAATTTAAGATAATGGTGAAATCATTACCCTTTCCTTTCGTTTTTACCCTCTTTCTCTTTCACTCATCTTTACCCTCCCAGGTGGCAGTTGAGAGTGGCTCCCTGTCCAGTTACGGACTCAGCAAAAACCTGTTCCCAGTCCAGGGATGTCGCGCGGTCAACAAAAAGGACATGATACTCAACGACTTCTGCCCAATACTCTCTGGTAAGTTCTGTTACTATAGTAAGTACCGTAATACTTTTATGAAAAGTAATACATTAAAAATTGTCGAAGACGACTACTCATTCTGACTCCGGGCTCTTAAGTGGGTGGCCAACATTTACACTGGAAATACACGCAGAAAACCTCAGGTGCGGAAAAAATGTGAGGCAACGAGGTGGAATCAGGCTCACGGCATGTAGAGTTATTGATATCATCTTAAAGCTTGTTCATTTGTCTTTATTTGGAAGCAAAAAATATCCATTTATCTTAAATACAAGTCAAGATATTTGCAAAAGAAGGAGGTGGGGGTCACCTGTTTTCAAAAGTAAAATTTGTGAGAAAATGGCCACCAAAGAGTAGTTATTTCCTTTAGCTTTAGAGTCCGTGGTCACTGAAGATTTTCATTTTTTATGCCTTTAGTCTACACTTTTTAGAAAAATCCACACAGAAATGAGTTCTTTAATGGGCATGAAAGGTGTTATAGACCACGAAGAAACACTTTCCACACATTTCCCTATTCTTGGCTAGTCTCTTGATATTATTCCATGTCTTTCAACTTATCTGCACAGCAACTTCTAAGACTCTTTCCACCTGGACGTCTCCTTGATGTTTTACCGTGGGGATTTAAATCCAACATGGGCTACTCAAATTTTAATGCTAATCATTTATTTATTTAATTATTTATTTTCTCACTTTTCATTCATTCATTCATTCATTCATTCATTCATTCATTCATTCATTTATTCATTCATTCTTTCATTTAGAATATACTTTTGTCCAAGGAAAGTTGACTTCGTGATCAGGATATATTTGTGTTGTGTGGGGTCTGCTATTGTGTCCTACATGTCACGGGTAGGCTGGTCATTGTCAGAATACTATTCTATTTGGTCAGTGTACATATTGTATGCCAGATTTATTTATCTATTCATCAATATACCTTATGTATCTAACAGTGGACCCTCAAACGTACAGTGTGAAGGTGAAGAAGGAGGAGACAGACAAAGACGGCGAGCTGCTGACGTGTCTGCCCTCGGAGCGGCTGTCACTGGCACAGAGATACTTCCTCTTCTGATCTGGCACTTTGCATTTGGCACTTGGCACCTTGCACTCACCACATGTCACTTGCCGTATGTCTCATGTCACCTGTCACTAGCGACCTGGCACATATCATCTGTCATCTGTCACATGTCATTTTTCCCTTGTCACATGGCATATGTCACATGGCACACGTCATATGTCATCTAGCACATATCACATGTCATATGCTTACGTCGTATGTCATCTTTTACTGTCATCTAGTGCATGTCATTTGCCACCTGTCACCATGGCTGTGTTGGTCCATTGGTGCTCACACTCTCTCTATACCACAACAGGCCTCCATCTCTCCCTTGTCTCTGCTTTGTTGTATTATGTCATTAAGTTGTAGACTAGTTTCGGAGTTAACGTTTTCTTTGTATGATGTCTGAACTCTACGCCCCAGTTATTTCTTAAGTGAAATACGATGCGAATGATTTGTGTTCGAATCATCAAGAGGGTAAGTTCGGGAGGGGGGGGATGATGCATTTCTGAACTTGGATTGTTTTTTGTTTGTTTAAGCTAGCTCTTCGCGCACATTTTTTTGCTGGTTTCTAATAAAAATGCTCCTAGAATTAGCCACAGCCTATTGGATACCCTTGTTGTTTGGAAATGCCAGATTGGTACCAAAACACAGTACCGCACAGCACCATAATATTATTATACAATGGTTATTAACCAGTTCGAGTTTAGTATTTAAATAAAAAGCACAAAGGAGGCGTTTTCGTAATTTATAATTTTTGTTGTTGTAATTAACTATAATCACGCGTTTTGTTGTTTTTTAAAGAAATATAGAAACCCTGTGATTTATCATTGTATGTCAAGTTTTGATAAAAATGAAAATAGAAAAACACTGTAGAGTTGGAGGTAGCGTTTCAGATTGAGCTTAGTCTTATTCTTATTTCTCTTCTTAAAATAGTAGCAGGTTTAGATGAACATAATGTACTGCCCGAATTTTATATATATATATATATGATGTTGTGACTGTTGGAAATCTTAACTGACAATATTTCCCCTGTTGTACTGTTTACAATAACAAAATATGATGATGTATAACCTGGCGCTCGCATTAATTATTCCTAAATGTGCATCTGCTTCTGTTGTATGTTCTTATGCATCACATAGAATACTAAATAAACAGGAAATTTATCTACGTACTTTCGACACTCTATTGTTTTGTATATATTTATTTTAGCATTTAACGTCTTTAGCTTTTAAAAAGGCTATTGTTTATAGCTAAGAAGACGCACGTCTTCTATACAAACAACAGTCAACCCTGCTCTAGTGGCCACCTGACCAAGACAATCACTGACCTGTACAAACTGCCATCTCCCACTTCTGTCCTTGAGTTTTTAATGTTTTGTTTTCGGTTGTTTGTTTGGTTGGTTGTTGGTTTAAAAAAAAATAAAACTACTTGTGTATCTATTTCCGGCCAAGCTGAAATGTTTCACGTGTCCCGCGCGCTCACAATATGTGAGGCAAGCTGACAAAATGAGTTATTTCTCACAATCCATAAATGGAGCTATTTGCCAAAACTAGACTCTAACTAGTGACAAATTTGTAGATTTTTTATGGACGTCATATTCTTTAAGTATAACACGCCCTTTAATAGTTCATACTTATAAATTGTAAAACTTTCACTCATAAGTATAAGTGTGTTGCATCTATTTCCCATAGGGTTCAAATCCGAGAAGTAACTCATTTTGTCAGCACGCCTCACATATGATCTTATACAAATGCGAGCGCCTTAAAACACTTTTTACCCCCCCCAAGAATTTCATAGAAATGGGAGCAGTTTGTCCGACATAGTTATCACTAGAGTGACACTATGAAAATAAAAAAAGCCACAAAAATACAACAACAAAACAATCTAACCTCTAATGATACTGCCCAAGACGATCTCGACTGTACTAATTAGTTAGTTCTTCATATTTATAGTACTCTTATGTTCATACTATAATGTGAATATTGTCATTCCTTATTGTGCTGTGATAGTATGAAGGTCTGCTAAAGTATTGTTGTTAATCTAAAGAGCGCATGCACGCATGCTCAGTGACTTGCGTGTTTTATGCGAATATTAAAACTATGAAGGTGTTGTAACTCAAATACCCGTATAGTTCGAACATTTCACTGCAAAAATTCCTGTTTTGAAATAAAATTTTAAGTAATATTAAAATAACAGTATATACAGTAGAGCCAATGGTCTTTTAAAAATGAAGCATTCTGTTGGGACTGAAGACGAAGAACATATCTTTTAATTTTGTGTTTTTAAAATACTTCCCTCGGGAATCTCCGAAGTCTGGACATTCTGTTAAGATGTGTCTAATGGTGACATCTGCGTCGTATCCGACACAGAACGGTTTCTCATCTCCATGAAGGAGGTATTGTGTCAGGGACGTGTGTCCGATACGCATTCGAGTAAAAATGACTTCTTCTCTTCTGGTATGTCTATTTCTGAATTACAAATGTCCCCTTCTGTACCCATGCGAGTCTCCATTCTGCTTTTATAAAATCAGTCTCTTTCCTTATAACTGAATTCATCACAATGGTATCTATTATTTTGACAAGAGCATCTTTTTGGATTTGTTGTGTTATTCTAGCTTTTGTTATTCCATCCTTTTGGTCCCATTTCGTCTCCAGTTGAGCTAGTAAATCTGTTACTTTCAGTTTTACCATTTCTTTCTTCCATTCCTCTTCTATCCACCTCCCTGCCGCACTTGTCAATAATCTTTACTCAAGAATCCATTCCTTTTGAATACATCACACATGCATTCCGCCGCCTTCTAATTCTATGTCCATAAATTCCCTCGTGATTGCTGTCAACAGCTGTAGGGGTCTCTGGCAATAGTATAAAGAAAAATCTCAAACTCAGGGTCATTCTTAAGAAGACCATTGATACTTTCAGAAAGTGAAATGTTCAAAACACCTGGGTGAAGCGGAGTCGATGGTGATAGCCATGGGCAATACCGTGGCACCATGATAGAGGTGAATCGTGGATAATTTGCTGGAGTGCACTTGCCATCGTCCGCAGTCTTCTCCAATGTCTTTACCAGATTCAGCTTTACCAGGTATCTTCCTCGAGATAAGGGATCGATCATGTATCCTCAGCCAGATTCATGCCAAAATGTCAAGAAAGTGGGATTTGAAAAGGACTAGCATTAATTGTATATAAGAAGAACAGCATTAACGTGGAGAACTATTTTGTAAACGTGAGAAAGATAACCATTTCATACTTCGGGAGGTTTTTATTTCTTTCTTTCAATGACTTGTTTTTTTCCGTTTCTTTACCAATCGTGAATCATAGATAACGCCGGCGGAGGCTTTTGCCTGAAACCACTCTCTCTGCTAAATATATCTCTGGCATAATAATACTAAAACCAGATATTTGAGTAGATAACTTTATTGATGCGTGATAAGTGAATCGTAAGAAAAGAATGTCTGCCACAGTATAGTATACACCACGACTGAAACGTTTAATTTTGCGAAGAGACCAATGAATAATATCAGTTCACACTCATGGTCAAAGCGTAAGATAATTCCAAGAACAAAAAGGATTGCACCCAGATTGTCAATAATGAAATTAAATAGTAATGATAAAGTGCATATTATTATTAAAATATTTTCTGTAATATTCATAGTATTAGTTTTGTATTACTACTTCTGCAGCTGCTGCTGTTGCTTCGAACTGCCAGTACAAGAACTACTTCTGCTGCTGTTAATGATAATGATAATGATAATGATGATACTACTACTGCTATTACAGCTGGTGTGCTAAAATACAACCGTTGAAGTAGGCGAAAAAGAAGAAGAAGAAGAAGAAGAAGAAGAAGAAGAAGAAGAAGAAGAAGAAGAAGAAGAAGAAGAAGAAGAAGAAGAAGAAGAAGAAGAA